AATGCCGCTCATTAAGCTGCTGCCGCCTCCTCCTCCTCGGATGACACCCCGGCCCGCGAGGCGCTCTCTTCTCTCTCCACCGCCAGACCGGCCGGGAGCAGGGGCGAAAGGGGGGCTGGGCCGGCTGCCTCCGTCGGACGACGCTCGCCCCCCCCCCCAGGCAGGCAGGCCGGCCGGCCGGCTGCAGTAGACGGGCCGCACCGGGGATGCGCGTGATGCGCGCCTGCAGCGCCGGGTTCCATGGATTTGCGCGCAAGGAAGACTCGGGGACTGTCTGGCACCCCCACGCGCCTCTACAGGACTCAACACTACATAGCCCGGCTGTGTTTGCAGGAGGGGGGCGGGGAGCACGCGCACACACACGCACACACCCCGGGTGCTGCACACGCTGTCTCGCCTGCACCCGCACTTTAGACCTCCCGCTCTGGAGACGCCGCGCAACTCTGCTCGGTCACAGGCGACAGATGACAACGGACCGCAGCGGGTAACGTTCGCGGAGTCCACTTCGTCCTGCCGGCCCCCACAGCCTGGGTCGCTTTACATCGATTCCGATCGCGACCTCCATGCGCGGTCTTTGGGACAGCGACGGAAGGCGATGGGAGAAGGGAAAGACAGCTCCCGGCCCCCGAAGAGAAAATAATAATAGTAATAATAAATAATTAATAATACATGACAAGGACCGTGCCTTTCCACAGCGGGGGAGGCAGTCGGAGGAGGAGAGGGGGGCAGAGGGGCGAAGCTTTTCTCCTCCGCTGCGCAAAGGGTGGGGACGTACTAAAACCAAGGACAGCGATTGCCCATAAGGAATACATGAGTGCCCATAGAGAATAATGGAGAGGAGGCTTGCCCAGAGAGGATAGTGCAGTTGCAGTACATAATTGCCAATAGAGAATCCATGACTGCCCATAGGAAATAATGGAGTACATAACTGCCAGTAGAGAATCCATAATACCAATAGAGAATCCATGACTGCCCATAAGGAATAATGGAGAGGACGCTTGCCCATCGAGTATAATGGAGTACATAATTGCCAATTTATTGCATTTTATATTTTGTATTTGCTGGTTTTAGGGTTGCTGCAAGCCCCGCGTGGAGCCCCCGCGATGGTGGTGGCCTTGGACTCCTAGGGGCGTTGCCGCTCAGACATCACACGCGAGAGGTCATTCTGGCTCCCCCGCTCTCGTAAGGGGCTCTTTAAAAAGTTGTGGCCACGGACAGGGGGCCATGAAATGTTCCCTCCCCTCCCTGAGCCCCGGGGTGGTGGCCTTGGACTCCTAGGGGCTTTAATTCCGAGCAGCCCACTCTGACATCACACACTCAAGAGGTCATTCTGGCTCCCCCAGCTCTTGTAAAGGACTCTTTAAAAAGTTATGGCCACCGACGCGGTAGCTGCAACCGCCAGGCGAAAGTTCCCTCTCCTCCCTGAGCCGCCTTGCCCCGGCAGGCTGGCAGCCCCAGGAGAGAGAGAGTGGGACGGAAGGCGATCTCGAGCGTCTCCAACTCCGCTGCGCGCGCTCCGGAGGGAAAGGCGTGGGGGGAGGGCGTGACTCGAAGGCAGGAGCCTTCCCCCCGTTTGCAGAGCGGCCCCTCCCTGCAATCCGCCGCCAGTCGGCGTCTGCCCCTTCCTGCCTGCCTTTGTCGGAATAATGCCCAGCCGGAGGGAAGCCCCGTCGTCGTCGAACTCCAAGCCTCTCTGACGCCTGTTTTGCGCAATCGACTGTCTCCCCCTCCCCGATCCGCCCTGCCTGGAGGGAGGGAGGCTGTCGCCGTCCCCCGGGTGCCTCGCGAGGAAGCCGCACGCAACCCTG